TATAGCAAAAAGAAGCGATATTTTGGAAATGTTGAAATATTGATTCCAAATCACTTTGAAAGTGAAAACAAATATTACCACTAGACTCAGCATGGACAATTCTCCCACTCTTGACCACTTTTCGAGCGATCCAGGGTCAAGGGACCAAAATCGGATGTGGGTGTGAGTGTGGATGGAAGGAGAACAGATATCCACACCCACACCCTATATTCTCTATCGAATGGATATATTACAAATCAAAATTACATCAAAAAGGTTTTTGAAAAAACATCTTCAAAATCTTCCACAAAAACTCCTCTGGTTGGTCAGTTACTGAGCAAGTGAATTTTAACCAGCTTTATTTGCCAAACATTTCTCTTTTAAATAGGAAAACCGCAGCTCTCTATTGTGTTCCTATGAAAAGTTATTCATAAAACAGACAACTGTATTATATTTTGAAATGGATAGTAGAATAGTGAATAAATGATTGTTCTATGTGGAAACATAAATCATTTAAGTTTGATAATTAAATAAATCATTGAAATGAATTAAAAACTCAGTTTGAATAGATAACGCATTTAAAAAATCTAATTATTGAAATAAAATTCAAATGTTAGAATGGTATGATTCATGTCCATATGCTTATGATTTGGATAAAATTATCTTAGTTTTTCAAGTATGAGAAATATTTTGATGATCATCAAAACAACTAGCAAGGAGACGATGCTATGATATATTCCGACTGCATATTTTCGAAGAGTTGAAATATTGTCTGATCGCTATAGAGCTCTGCGGTTTCGATTAGTCAAAATGAAAAAAAAATGACTCCTTTTTCGGCATCTGAAAAGTGTCACTGGAATTGGTTATCTAATGACAATATGCTAAATAACTTAACGAGGAAAGATCTCCAACTGATTCACGCCTTTTTCATTTATATTTTATTCATATATAGAAGATACTATTCTAGGAAAAAGTCTAAGAGAATTTGGATTGATGCTGCTTCTTTCAATAGTTATGATCATTTTACTGATTTTTTTTTACCTATTACAAAGTACTTACAGAAAACTCGAACAACAGAATTTCAACCTCAAATTTTACCCACATGTAGGTCTGGTGGTCTTAACAACGCCCTAAAAGTATTAGCGGAAATGAATGCTTTCTTTTCGAGATATTGAATTGTAAAGAAACCCGATTTTTTCTGATCTTATTGTGAAATATGGAAATTTATGAAAATGCAATGTCTCAAAAAGAAAGCATTCATTTTCTCTAAAACCTTCAGGGCGTTGTTAAGACCATTAGACCTATATGTGGGCAAAATTTGAGATTGAAATTCCAATGTTCGGGTTTTTCTGTAAGTCCCTTGTGATAGGTGGAAAAATCAGTAAAATGTTCATAACTCTTGAAAGAAGCAGCATCATTCCAGATTCTCGTAGTTTTTTTTTCTTAGAACAATACCTTCTATATATGAACAAAATATAAATGAGAACGGCATGAATCAGTTGAGGATCTACCCTTGTAAGTAGTAATAATTGTTCTAGAAATTTTCATCTTTTATTTTTTCAAGATTTTTTTGTATGTCTATTATTTTATTAAAAAGAAGTAATTTTTTCAAAAAGCAATATAAAACGACAAAGAATAACAAAAATTGAATCGAACTTGCGATCAGTTTGTTTACGGCGTCGCAAATGTTAAGCTTCTATTATGATTTTGAATCAGACGTAAGATCTTTTCTTTGGTTAGTAAAGAATGATTCGTTATAATAAAGACGAATATTCCACACTAGCAGTATTACTAAACATAATGCACAAAAGAAACTTGTAACAGTAAAAAACTGTTTGCTCATTTGTTGTATAGATACAAGTAAAATAGTTTTTTGTTAATTCTTTTGAATTAAAATTCGAATTCAAAATAGTGAATAGATGAAACAGTTTCTCTTTCTGAAATGATACGAGAATCATAATGTATAGATGTCTTTACCATAGTGGAAGTACTGAGTTCAAGTTACATGTGTACTTGGTTGATTTTTTGCAAAATATTCAACAAAAGAATCTTGCTATCTATATACTGTAGAAAATTGGTCGGGTATCCTGCTGAAAATCGTCTTCATGTTCTTGTATTCGAAATGTGTACTTGGATTATTTCAAGTGTCACATGCTGGAAGTGTTTTCATAAATTAAATGACTTAGCATGCAAGAATATTTAAAAGTTAAGTGTTAAAATTACTCAAAACGTACTCGTACCCGATTTGCTGCGACACTCTTATCATATTTTACTTGATGTCAGGGAACTTGAAAGTGTAGGAAGGAAATAGAGAACTCCGTGCATTCTCTAGAGTAGTTATTATTAAAATGATTTTTTCGGTTCGAACAGTTTCGATTTCGAGTCTGCTTCTTTGTTTGTTTTTTGAAAGCACAGAACTCTAAATTGTTATCGATTATGAATAAATTTTATATGCAGTGACTGTATTTCTATTACTATCAACATGATGTCTACGAAATAATAGAAATAATTCTGATAACATTTACTAAAATATTTTAAATTCAAAATTAGGTATAGTTGACAGTAGTTCTGTCTCAGTATAACTAGAAATTTCGAATGATATTTTACCTTTGCATATTCATTTGATATTCGTTCATCTTCTCTCAATAGGTATTTTTATAGAAAATTCTTTTGAAGTGGAACTAAGATGACTAATCGATATTTAATTCTTTGCTTTAGACAAAACGTGTCAATTTTCATTTAAACGAATTGGCAAAAGTTCAATTATCTCTAATTCGTTACCACGATCTCTTGCTGTTGGAGATTTCAACAATGACCATCAGATGGATGTTGTCGTGGCTACTACCGGTTTAGACAAGATCATGATATTTCTTTTATATGATAATGGAACTGTAGCAAGAATCAAGTTGTATTTGACTGGCACTCAATCTCTTCCTTACTCGATCGTTGTCGATGATTTCAACCATGATAATTGTCTTGATATCGCCGTTGCTAATTATAATGCGCATAATATCGAAATATTTCTTGGGTATGGTAACGGTACGTTCGCTAATTCAAAAGTATTATCCACTGGCTCGTCTCGTCCATTATTTATCAACGTTGGAGATTTGAATAATGATAATCAATCAGATATAATAATCGCTAATTATGACACCGACTCTATTAGTATACTTCTTGGAAATGGTGATGGATCATTTAAAAATGAAAAAAAATATTTCACTGGTTATGATTCTAGCCCACGTTCATTAGCTGTTGGAGATTTCAATAAAGACAATCAGTTAGACATTGCTATTGCAAATTATGGTACCAATAACATAGGTATTCTACTTGGATATGGTAACGGAGGTTTTGCAAGCCAACAAATTTATACAACTAATCTGAACTCAAATCCAATTTCGATCGCAATAGGAGATTTTAATAATGACAATAATCTAGATATTGTTGTTGCCAATTATGGTACTGGTACTGTTGGTGTATTTCTTAATTATGATAATGGTACTTTTGCACCGCAAAACACATATTCAATTGGTATCAATCCTCTTTTACAATACGTTACAGTTGGCGATCTCAACAATGATAATGAATTGGACATTGTAATCGTTGATTCAAATAATGATCAAGTACATATTTTTCCTGGGTATGGCAATGGTACATTCGCTACAATATCTACATATGATGTCGTATCTGGATCTCGTCCATTTGCAGTCGCTATAGCTGACATTAACAATGACAACCAATCAGATATTGTTGTGATCAATTATGAAACTAATAAGTTGCTGATACTTGAAATGTGTTCCATGGAACCATCTGCAAGACAAAGAAACTATCTTTTGCAAGCTGCGGCACATTCGAGTACCGTTGCCATTGCTGATTTTAATAATAACACTCATCTCGATATAGTCGTTAATGGTTACGAAGGGAGTAGTGTACGTATACTATTCGATTATAACAATGGAACTTTTGCGAGAGAAATATCATACTCGAGTGGCAATAATTCGAATCCACAACATATTTGTACTGTTGATTTGAACAACGACAATCGAATAGATATTGTCACCGCCAATTTAGGCTCTGACAGTGTAGGCGTTCTTCTTGGATACGGCGATGGAAACTTCACTCCTGCGACAACATATTCTGCAGGTATTGGTTCGAGTCCAAGGTTCGTCGTTGTTAAAGATATTGATAATGATAGTCACTTAGATATTATTTCTGCTAATAGAGGCAGTAGTATAGGCGTTTTTTTTGGATATGGTAATGGAAGTTTTGCCTCTGTGATGACGTATTCAACCGGTATGGGTTCGTTTCCAGCATCAGTTGCTGTTGGTGATGTTAATAATGACAATCAGCTAGATATTGTTGTCTCTATCATAAATCCTGACGGTATAGTTGTTTTTCAGGCTCATAACAAAACAACTTTCAGTATGATAATGTTTTATTCAACTGGTTATGATTCCGCTCCTGTTTCAATTGCTCTAGCTGATTTCGATAATGATAATCAATTGGATATTGTCGTCGCTAACTCACGTGCCAATAACGTGCGCATTCTATTTGGACTTGGGAATGGAACATTCGATAGACAAAGAACTTATGAAACTGGTTCTGAGTCGTTACCATACTTCGTTGTTGTTACTGATTTTAACCACGACAATCAACTAGATATTGCTATCACATATTTGCGCAATGACAAAGTAGTTATATTTTCTGGACATGGTAATGGAGATTTCGAACTTATAAGAACGTATTCTGTTGGGACTGGTTCCCATCCATATGGTCTCGCCGTTGCTGATTTTAATAATGATAAGAAATTAGAAATAGTTGTTACACTTTGGGGTAATGGATATGTTGCTATACTAACTGAATATTATGCTGCAAAATTTGCAGAGCAAATCATGTACCCTATGGGTCTTGCTCCACAACCATATTCAGTAGCTGCTGGTGATTTCAATAGAGATAATCAATCAGATATCGTTGTCGCTAATTCAGGCACTGATACCATAGATGTACGTATTAATTTAGGCAATAATACGTTTGCAACATATATAATGTCCTCCACTTACACTGGTTTATATCCGCGATATGTCAATGTTGCTGATATTGATAATGACGACAATCTTGATATTGTCACTGTCTATTCACAAAGTGACAGTGTTAGTGTGAATTTGGGATACGGCAATGGGAGCTTTAAAGCTGCAACAATATATTCTACAGGAGCTGCTGGTTCACATCCGTGTTCAATCGTATTTGGTGATCTCAATAATGATAGTCGATTAGATTTGATCATTGCTAATGAAGGCACAGATAACATAGCAGTTCTTCTCGGATATAACTACACAACGTTTCATAAACAGAAAACATATAAAGCGGTAGGTAGTTTTGGACCGCGTCAAGTCGTCGTGGGCGATTTCAATAATGACAGCTATCCAGACGTTGCCGTTGTCTTTTACACAACTTATCAACTAGGTATTTTTCTCGGAGATGGTAATGGAAGTTTTAATGTTGTGTTAATTTATTCAACTACAATAGGCTCAACTCCGTATGCACTAACTGTCGGTGACATCAACAAGGACGGACGATTGGATGTGATCGTGGCTAACATGGGCACTAATAATGTTGGTGTCTTTCTCGGATATGGTAATGGAAGTTTTGCTAGTGTCATGACTTTTTCAACTGGAATTGGTTCTATGCCGTACTCAGTCGCCGTAGCTGATTTCAACGATGACGGCCGATTGGATATAGTGGTGATTAATATTGGTACTAAAACTATAGGCATTTTATATGGATATGGTAATGGAAGTTTTGCTGTGATGGTTACTTATCTAACTGGAGAGAATTATGTTCCAACGGCAGTCACAGTTGGTGATTTCAACAATGACAGTCAAGTAGATATAGCTGTTGTTAATACTGATGCCAACAATGTTGGTATTTTTCTTGGATATGGTAATGGGAGTTTTACAAAACAAGTGACCTACTCAACACGTTATGGAACTCGTCCATATTGGGTTGCATTAGGAGACTTCAACAACGACAATAAAATCGATATGGTTACTGCAAATCATTATGATAATAGTATAAGTATTTTTTTGGGACATGGAAATGGATCTTTTTCTGACGTCAAAACATATGGAACCGGTGATGGTGCCATGCCGATGTATGTTACTGTTGGTGATTTCAATAACGATCATAAATTAGATGTTGCTGTCGTCAGTTATGGAACTAACGGTATTGTTGTGAACTTTGGATTAGGAGATGGAACCTTCTTAGGAGGAGATCTATATTCAACGGGTACTGGATCTGAACCGAATACATTAGAAACTGGCGATTTCAACAAAGATGGGCGATTGGATATTATTGTTTCTAATCCTGGCTCAGATACTATAGGTTTGTTTCTTGGTAATGATAGCAAGCCTTTTGCTAATGTAAAGTTAGGTCGTACTGGTGTTGGTTCACAGCCACAATCGGTTGCACTTGGTGATTTCAACAACGATGGTATATCAGATATTGTCGTAGCTAATTATGGCAACAACAACGTAGGTATTTTTCTTGGACTTGGTCGTGCACTTTTTGATACTATGTTAACATATTCCACTGGAGTTGATTCTAGTCCGTACTTCGTTGCGGTCGAGGATTTAAATAATGATAATCGATCTGATATTGTTGTGGCCAATTTTAAAACTGATAATATTGCTATTCTTCTTGGTTATGGCAATGGTACATTCACCACTGCTGTAATACATACAACAGGATATCGTTCTCGTCCATCCGCAGTCGCCATAGCAGATTTTGATAAAGATAATATATTAGATATTGCTGTTGCAAATTCTGGCACAAGCACTGTACTTTTATTATACGGAAATGGGAACGGAACATTTAGAAACGAAGAATTGTATCCATTAGGATATGGCTATCTTCCTTATTCAATTGCTGTTACAGACTTGAATCACAATGGTTTTATGGACATTGTTATAGCGTGTTATGGCACAGATAACATAGAAATTCTACTAAAAATTTGCTAATATAGACATTACTATGAGATTGGTAACGTAATTTTCTGTAACTTTCTTTCACATACAATGTCTTACATTATTCAAAATTTCTTTTCTAATAATCAGCTAATATTTAAATGGTTGCTCGAGCACTAAACAGTAGAATGATCATTTAGACTTCTTTACAGTTTATCACATTCCCAAAATCACAAGTAACACTCGTCGCTTCGACTCGCTTAGCCCTCGACTGAACAAGATATCATATTCAATTTTTCACAGACTATATAGCAATAGAAGTTCACAAAAATTATACGAAAACGCAGAGTACATTTTGAAAATTCTACTAGAAATTTGTACACATTCTAGAACATTCCTCGATAATGCTGTTGACTATAGAGTTCTTTAGGAAAATAGAAGTTCTGTGGAACCCCTAGCCGAAAATAAAACATATTATATCTGATCTGTAATCGAAATCTGATATATAAGACAAGCTCTTATTCAAAGTAGTGAAAAGACTAGACAAGTAATTTGAATATATCAATGTATATTCAGATACTTGAATTAATACAAACAAAAACCATATTCCAAAAGAAACATTCTTTTATTTCATTCATGTTCATTACCGATGCAGCGAATATAAATTCTTTCAGTAATACTTTTATTCTGGCGAACTATTCAGTTATTTTGTCCAAACATAAAAACCGGTTCTCATCCTTGACTTGACATACTTTTCTCAACCTTTTGTATCTGATATTCCTTATTCAGACCCATTTGACTTCGACTATTGGCTTTTATTCAATGAATCCCAACACTTCGAAGCGGCACTTCTGGAGATAACGCAGTGCAGCAGCTAGTTGCTCGTCGGCGCCACTCCGGGGCGCCACTCGCGGCTAGCTGCTACCAGGTCTACTCCCATCTTTTCATAACACTATCCCTCTGTATTTTAAATTCATCTGGTCCAGAATTTACTATTTCAAAACTTCGTTAGTCTAAAGCGTTAGAATTATCGATAGGAATTTTCAAATAAAAGTTTTCTCATGAATTATTTCTCATGTCCGCAATTTGATTGTAGAACTGAGAAACCAGAATATTCTTTGAGGTTCTCATTAAGGAAATCTTAGTGCACTATTCTTCAAAATGCCTACCCGATACAAAGATCTTTAGTGAGATCAGTCTGTAGTATGCTTGCAATGTTAACGATTAACAGTTCATTAGCGCCCCTTTGGGGTACCAGCCATGGCTAAGTCCTCCTTTTACATAAGTGCACTTGAACGACAGTCTCTTATTGTCCATGTAATACAACAGCTACGATATCATTCACATATGCCTTTTCAAAACTATTTTCTTTGAATAACAGTAGCTAGACATTGCACATATCAGAATTCCCGAAAACATACCAGGATAAAAGTATCACTTTTCATAATAGTAAGTATAGCATATGACAAATTAATGCCAGGTCTCAATGTTAGACCCACGCCTATCCATGTATATATTTCCGCAGATGATAGATTTAAAAACACGAAAGAACCTTTCTTATAAGTATCAAACACGACCAAATTCAATAGCTTATTCACTCTTATCGCATACATTTAACTAATAAATACACTCTAAAAAAAAAAACGTTTTCTCAGAAACCGAAACCCCTTCAGAAACCGTTTCCGAAACCCTTGAACGTATCCTGGAAGGTTTCCGGACTCATGTTAAGTTTCTGAAAATACCTTCGGGGTTTTCAAGTATCCGGAAACCTATGATTTTTCGAAATATAGGTCCGGAAACCCTCAACCGTATTCTCAGAAACCCTGGTGCTCTTTTTGAAAACCGAAAGTTATCCCCGGAAACCTTCTCTGATTTAAAAACCTCCTCGAAAACCTTTGCGTTTCCGATATTTTTTTATCGAAAACCTTTTTGGGTTTCCGAGCATCGAAAACGGTGGAAGCGTTTTCGAAAAGTTGAGCATGATTTCCGAACATTTATTGGAAACCCTTCAGGGTTTTCGAATTTTCAGAGAACCCTTGCGTTTCCGAAAAAAGCTCCGGAAACCTATCCAGTATTCTCAAACATAGAAATAGCATTCGGATGTCTTCTTTTTGATTCTAATGTTACGATCGCTATTTTAGAAGTCTAGGAATTGCACGACATGCATGATATAAACCTTATTCAATTTATGTAGAATTGTTGTGTAAAAGCATTAGAACTCTGAGAATTCAAAAGAAAATACATTGTTCTTGAGAAAATTTCGACTTGTTATTACATCTTTTAGTACCTAAAAACTTGAATGGATTACGACAAATTTCACTGTGGGGATCGAAGAGCTGCATTAAATTGCCAGATTAAACAAAGAATTCCGTCTTTCTCCTTCTTCATTCATTTATGTTTCATCCAAGTACAGGCATTATCATCCTTATCAACAGATTGCAACAGAATATAGTACAAGTTTGAGCCGTTTGACGATCCTTTCAATTGATTTATACGGAAGATTCCTAGGAGCGGATTGATGGAAAACATGAAGAAATCTTCATTTGCAAGAGAATGTAACACAAATACGAGATGTCTCGGTGTGTTTGCAACATAATTTATTCTCCATATATCTCCACAAATGTAAATGATAAAATCTTAAATTTTTTCAAATTATGCGTCGTGACATTCTGTACGATAGTCAAAATAAAAGATCCTCTTGGTTTGGGCTAATAGATTTGGAGTAAGCCAAAAGGAAAGATGTCTCAGATGTGATAGTTTCTCATTTTCATACCGATTTAAGCACTTTAAAAAAAACATATTTACTATCTAAATCAAATCATATGTACAAAAACTCATTTCTGAATCCCATCATCTCAATAAAATGAGCATTTTCAGTTCGAAAATAGTCGGAAAGAATGAAAGGTCTGCGAAATGTAATTGTTGTTTAGCTAAAGGAAAAAACAAATTCTGGACACTGAGAAACTATAAATTCCCATACACCTTTCCTTCTAGCTTTCTTCAAATTTATTAGCACAAATTACAAGAATCTCTGCGTTCGCCTATTAGAAAGAATGCCATGACCTATCGTTTCAAAAACAAGTTGACGTTTTCATGAATTGTCTGTTTGAAGATATAAACAAAATAAAATATCTTGGAACCGTTCTGTGAAAAACGGTAGATATGTATTTCTTCACACTGCAAGATACAGTTTTTCCAACTGATCCGGTAAATAACCCGAAAAAAAAGCGAACACGAGAATTGCAGCTCACGGGTAACAAAACTGAAGACACCAACATTCTGCCTTCGACAGCAATACGGAAACCAGAAGTCAGACTGCATTAAAGACTTTGACTTCAATACACAAAAAGCTTTCACCACTATAGCAATCCACTTGAGTTGGTGACTTTGAGTTCGACAGGACATAAGATCTCATGACATTCGCTAACTTCATGGCAATGGCTTTGAGAGGCAGGAAAACTTGAAATCTTTAACTGACTTCATGACGATAGCTTTGAGAGATGTCAAGACTCTAACAAACAAGACTGACTTTACGACTCTTACTCAAAAAAACATACAGACTCGATGACTAATACTGACTTTGTGATTATGACTTTTAGATACAGAAAGAAAGCAGGACTAAGACTAACTTTTCACTCAGTATTTCGCACGGAGCCATAAAGACTATAGAAATAAGACTGGCAGAAGGACGCCTGTTTTACGAGACATGAAGACTCCAGGACACAGACTAAATAAATGACATTCTATTTAGGATACGTCCAACTTCCACCAATTTAGCTGACTTCATGGCCGTGAATTTGAACAACGAGAACACTGGAAAGATCTCATTGAGTTCATCTCTCCGTCTTTCAAAAGATTCAGCACTTTGATTGACATCATGCCCAACTCCTAGACAGATTTCAAAATTTTACGACTGTAGCGAACAATATGACTCTGGAAATAACATTCATCTACACTAGGACACTATCACCAGTTCCATGATATTCACTTCAACAGACATAAACACTCAAGAACTTTGACGAAATTCATGACTTTACATTAAGGACCTATTCCTCTATATTTATATTAAAGCTACACCTTCACAAACATCAAACTCAAATCGACATACAGGAGTCACATTACGAGGTTAGGATCATGGGACACATATACATTATGGACTTACACCAACACGATGCGATAGGGATTATAATAATGGGATACAATAAGGCATTAGATATAGAATAAGGAGCCAGATAAATGGGATATATGGATTCCATAAAACAAGCGGTCAGATATACATTAAGCATTTAGATCACGCGTTACAATGGCGGAATAGAATAAGGACTAAGAAAAAGAGGAAAGATATACATTAAGGGCATAGATCATGGATTACAATAAAGGGTTAGATTGAAAGAATAGAATCAGCGGTTAGATTTAGGAATACAATAAGGGATAGAATAAGGGGATAGATTAAGGGGATATATAAATTAAGGGGTTAGAATAAGGTGTAGATTAAAAGGTTAGGTTAAATGGATAGATTAAGGTCATAGAATAAGCAGATAGAATAAAGGTTAGATTAAGCGATAGAATAAGGGGTTAGATTAAAGGGATAGAATCAGGGGATAGATTAAGGGAACAGAATAAGGGGATATATATAGATTAAGGGGTTAGAATAAGGAATCAGATTAAGGGATTATCTATAGACTAAGTAGTTAGAATAAGCGGTTAGAATAGGGGATAGAAGAAGGGGATATATAGGTTAAGGAGTTAGAATAAGGGGTTAGATTAAGGGGATAGATTAAGGGGTTATATAGAATAAGGGGATAGATTAAGGGGATATATATAGAATAAGGAGATAGGTTAAGCGGATATATATAGAATAAGGGGATAGATTAAGGAGTTAGAATAAGGGGTTAGATTAAGGGGATAGAATAAGGAGACAGATTAAGGGGATAGATTAAAGGGATAGAATAAGGGGTTAGATGAAAGGGGCAGAATAAGGGGATAGATTAAGAGGATATATATAGAATAAGGGGATAGGTTAAGGGGATGTATATAGAATAAGGGGATAGATT